AGAGGAGTCTGTTAGGCTGTCTGCTTCATATTATTGACTGTATTTGGAGAAGACTAATCCTTAGCAACCAATGACAGCCTGTGGCATTCACCAGGATAAAGGTTTAACAAACCTGTAAGCATGCAAATGGGTAGCAGTAATAGGAAATAACTCACTAGTGGCAAATTTATCATTCTGAGTACATATTGAAGGATAAGAAGTATTACTTCCCTGCTGATGTTACATTAAGCACAGAAGCTGGCAAGGACAGATCAGGCTGGGTATTTCCTGTTATAAATTCCCTTCAACTGAGCTACAATAAAGACAGTAGAAGACCAAGTATATCCAATTACATGCATGACTGGGGTACCTTAATTTCTGTTGCTTTAAATAAAATTGAATGAGGCTCCACACATTCTCTCCCAGGCTTCCTTCCTTACATTGCTACTGCAGAAAGAAGGTACTTTTGAGACTCCAAATCTTATTGTGCAAAAGACTTTTTCCCATATCAAAGCCACAAAATTTCATGTACCAGCCTTGTTCATGGGATGGAGCAGATATACAACAAAAACCACACAAAGGAACCATTTTCTTCTGGAAAGCCACTGCAACCAAAGCAATTCAACCTTATCATGCAATTCTCCTTTGATATCACACAAATTACTTGCAGAGCAAGTTTTGCTATTTGCTTTCCTTTACACAAAAGTGTTTGTGAGTGAAAAACTTGAGGATTAAAGGGGATTTAAATCAGTTCAAATAGGAAATATGTGCCATAAAACCCACCTTCCTTGACAGTATCAAAAAGGGAGGAGGAAATGATGGACAGAAGCAATAGTCTCTGTGAGATGGAAGACAAAACATTTCCCCCATTTTGCATAGAAAGCCCACATTGCCTTTCTCTTTCCTCAGGAACCTTTAGCAAGCAGCAAGCCCAAGGGAAGGCAGAAGCTTTTTACATCCCATCCCTAACTCAGTATTTTAGGGAGAGGAAACAGAGCAGCATGTACATCTGTGCAATGATGAGGATCCTCCAGTAGAGAAGACACAGATAAAAGGAGTCCTCTTGCCTTTGGGCACACAAAATTACCCTGTTCTAACCTCTAGTAAACACAGCTTCAGGCTTCTAGGTGCTTCCCTGAAAAAGTGCTGAACAAGCTCCAAAGGCATCCACCCTTCCCTGAGGACCTACAATATCAACAACTGAAGACTGTACAGTGCCATTGTCTCCTATTGCACAACGAGGTATGACCTTGGCACAGTCCAATACAAATCCTACCATGAGACATGATGTGTACACTATTATCACGTTCAGGAAGGCACATATTTATGTCCCAGGGGGACTTTGGAAGCAGATAGAAAGTGTTGTTATTATCATAAGTTTCCATATCTGAAGGGTCCTCAGGAAGAGATACAACACTGGAGACATGGCTGTATTCATCCTTGGGCCAGAGATCAAACAACCATTTCCATTTCTTAGGTGCTAGATCAACAAAACATCCTTAGTTCTCCCTTTTGAATACTGTTACTCAGAAGGATCTTTCTTAGTCAGACCAGGAGAAAGAGGCAACTGAACAATAAGAAAGTGTCTTTTTACTTCTGGTTCTTTTTTTTAAAGTTCAGAAGTTAACCCCAAAGCTTGGGATTCTGTCAGAAACTCAAATTCTGATTCTCCATGTTTAGAGGGATAGGGTTTCCCCCCTCCCCCAAAATCTCCTGCTAAGTATGCAAGCAAGAGGAGTAAGAATTCAGATTGACTACTACTATGTCTGACACCAAAGCTGGAGTTTTACAGCATTTACAAGAACTAATTGCTCACTTAAATGTTTACAGAAGGTCCTCATATGTCACTGTAGGCAAACCACAACTTTACAACACCAAAATGCTTGGTACATGCCTGTGTCTTTCACAGGCCCTGCAACCAATTCCATTCCTTCTTAAGTACATCAAGGGCTTTTAAGTTGGCTAAACTGGGAATGTTTACTAATTTCAGTTCTGATTTATAAACTAAGGCCCTCCAGATTCCCAATTACTTTGTACTCTGAGAGTTCCCTCCTAAGCTGAGACTCTTCTCAGACCTCATTAATGGTGTTGCTAGAAAGTCATGATATTTAGCTCTACCTCTTAGTTTTCACTACCTTTTTGGAGGTGAGGGGGCAGGCAGCCCTTGAACAATCTATGTGCCTTATGATTACTTTAAGCAGACTTAGGCTCAGACTGCCATATTAAAAATGCCCTGGATTCCCCACTTTGGTTCCCAGCTGTGCTTTCCAGCCCATGTCTTCCCTTGCAGCCCCTGGGCAGCAGGTGCACTGCATTGGGCAGCTGAAACAGCCAAACCCATTTCAGACAGGTCAATTCAGTTCAGCTCCTGCTCTGGACCACTGTGTGGTTGCAGGGGCTGCTACTTTTTTTTTCAGCTATTGTCACTTATCTTGAAGTTAGTTGTCCACACTGACCTCAATGTTTAATTTTACTCCTCCCCTCAAAACGATTGTCCTACTTCTGCCAGCTCTAGAACATTAAAATTAAAGACACTATGAATATCCCTATTTGTTACTGTCCGAAATAGTCACCTATGCAGTAGTAAAAATCAAAACTATAAAACATAACATATGCATTACAAATATATAAACAATCACCTTCTCATTATGGACTTGGGAAGTGCAGCATTGCTTCAAACTGCAAATATCCCCACTGAGCATTTTTCGGGAACGCAGCTTTTATTGAAACTTTACTTGAGCTCCAACCACAAAAATGACAGGTTGTGTTAACTTGATCCTACCTTAAGTCACATAAAGGTTAAATCTCCACTCAGCTCCCTGCTGTGCAAAACTCCAGAGGTGTGCAGGGTGTGTGCTTCAGAACTACCCCTCAAAAGTCCTCCTGACTGAACACACTGGCAGCAGTTGTTGTACAGAAGTATGCAGTCAGTCATGCACATACCAGTGCTGGTATTTTCTGAACTTTTATCCACAGACAGGTCTCACTTCATTCTTTTCCCCTCGTGTTTCAACAATCAGCTACAGATTTTGCTTTAGGGTGGCTGCAAATTCTGTTTTGACCAAATACATCTCTGGACACTCCCTATTCCACTTCAGTTATACAAACATGCTCTGACCCAGCCCTTCTGGAGTAGTCACAATAAAAACCCTACATTTCCTGCCCCTCCAACCTGATGAGATATTTTTAGTTGAAGTTGAATGCACATACCTGTGGCAGGTGAGGCACTAGTGAGAATGTGGGTGTGGCAAGACCTTTGCTCTTCTAATGCCAAGTGCTTCCACAGCTTCTCATTCCAAATCAAGGGAGGTGGCCAGCTGTCTAGGGGGCACTCTTCTCAGGGAGGTTCTGTACCCTTTCACAAGGGGCAACTCTACTTCTCTCCTCTGATACAGTTGCAACTGCAGAGGAGGGATAATCTTTGACACCATCAAGGGGCAAGACAGATCCCCTCTGCTGTTGCAGCCTTCCACATAGGAAAGAACACAGATGCTACAGACTCCAAGAATTCATTAAAGCAAGACTCATACTACTTTTGAAAGGAATGACTCTGCCCTACCTCCTCCAGCTGTCAAACTGCCCTTCACACCACTTTATGAGGACTGACTGCATCATGTCCATTGTGTAACTTAGAATAACACTCCAGAGGTTTTCCAGGGACCCAGGAGCCTCAGAGGGGTTTAGTCTTCCTTTGCTGATACTGGAACCAACCCTGTCCTGCTTGTGAAGGATAAGAAATTTTGTACAAGCACCCAGCAGGACAGAGGACCAGTCGAGAGTTCCCTTGCTCCACGGGGACTGAGCATTTGCATCTCCACCCATATGCTCACTTGTTTTATTCCTCTCTCTCTGGTGCATTCTAGGGCTGTTTCCTCTTACCTGTGGGGTTTCCTACCAAAGGGCTCCACAGAATTAACATGCTCTCATTTCTGGGCTTCCACCCCTCTGTGCTAGGACCCATGGAAAATACACACTATTTCTGCTTTACAAGAATGCTCTTACCCTTCATCATACTCAAGATTTGTACACTTATTATCTGCCACTGATCTTAGACAACTCAGAGTTATCAAACTTGAAGGTACTTGGGAGATTCAGGTAAACTGCTACAAACCGAAAAGGATGAAGTGAGAACACTGGCACTCTTCTTGCAGGGTATGTCTGGTCCTCATGAAGAAACAGACCTGTCTTTCTTGGAACGATTTTGCAAAATATGCTCTCCCAAACAAAAGCATAATAGCATTCTGACTAGCACACATGTGTACACTAGATTTATGCTGACAATATGAAATAACCACTGTGTTCATCTTGATTACTGCAATGGTTTCTACTTTCCATTTAAATCTAAAAAAGCCTATTTTGAACCTTGTTTTATGTAGCAGAAAATCCAGTTTATGAGTCGTTCTAACACGCATTACATTTTCATGTTGAGTGATACAGAGGAGCTTCTCACTCTTCTCTGCCCACCAGCAAAAATATCCAGTGTGAACATTTTTATTGCCAGTGAGAACTAGCACTAACCTTCTGGTTGGATATGAAGATAAGTACATTTATCCCATTCTTTCAAGAGTCTACTTATATGGCACGGGACTCTGCCTAAGACAGAAAAATAGGGAAGCACAAATGGCTTCTATACCAGTTTTTCCTCCCCACCCAGCCTGTGTGAGCTGCTTTCCTATGTAAATATCTCCCTCTGGCGTGGGTTTAGAAGTACTGCAAGAATGAGCCACAAGAAAACCACCTAAATCCCAGACCTCTCCTTGCTCTTGTCAATCACTATAGATTCTGGATCGAATTCCAGGCAATGAATAGCCTCATCCTGCCGAAACTGGTTCTCCCTGTGCTGGACCATTCTTCAGCTGACATAAGGTATTGATGACACATCTGAATTGCTAAGATTGACCTAAGAAGAAAACCTGGCTGAGCCAATAGACAAAATGAACAGTTTAAGCCAGAGACAAGACAAGGAGAGCCGGGTAGCTTTAAAATTAAGCAAAATATATTTGGAGTTCTCCATGTAACACATCCCATCACTAAGGCCAGGGCATCACAGCCATGTTGTGAAAACTCACTTCTTTTAACTTTTTCCTCTCTGTGTTTCAACAGATCTATCTGACCCTAGATGCACTCAGTGAGATTGGGTAGTGAGACAGGCTGCAGCAGTGCAAAAGCTGCACTCACACTGCACTTTGTGAAGGAGCAGGGCCAGACCACAGATGCTTCCAGGCCCAGAAGTGATGGTCTCTGATGGTGTCTCTGAAAGGAAGACGGGTACCATGGTAATACAGTGGGCCAAGTTCAGTCTGTAGCTGGTGAAGCAGAAGAAGGAAGTTGTTTTCCAGATGCACTGCCTAATTTCATATGCAGCTCTGAATAAAACTCCACTCAAGATGGCTTGGTAGACTGTTTTTTCCAGCTCATATAGGTATAAAGAGAAAAATTAAAAGTCTGTCCAAATACCAAACTAGAAGGCTTTCCTCTTCTTCTTTTTCCCACCTGCCACCTTATTCCTGACACCAATAGCTTCTTCTGTGTCATCCTCATCATTCCGAGACCGCTTCTTCTCTCCCTGCTCCCGCAGCTCCTGCAATGCAATCAACAGATTGACCAAGAGTTCTGGCACCTGAGGAAATTCAGACTACAACAGCAAGCAGAGGGACAAAAGGCCAGCACTCACCATTCGAGCAAATCTCTGGGCCTCAGCCACACGCTCCGTCAGCATCATAACTTCTTCCTCTTGCATGGGGAATGCTGGCAGCTTCTTGCCAATCAGGTGTTCAATGCGCTGGAATAGTTCTACATCGTACCTGACAAGACACCAGCTTAAATCAGCCTTCCTGAGAGTGCTTCAGCTGTCACCACTCACAGACTTCACCCCTTATCTCCAGCCCACAGATACTGTTCGTTTGTGCCGATGGCTTCACAAACAACTCTTAACTGCATCCGAATGATGCCATTGTTTGGGATGGCTTCACTGATTTATTCAGTTCATTTCTGTTCAGAAGTATTTGGCAAAGACTTTTTTTTAGACAGATATTTCAGTATTTATGAAAAAACCTCAAAGCTATTTAACCTGCATTATATATTATAAAAATGTATGTATATTATACAATCCAGTTATAAACAGCTCTGCTCATTACACGCCTGCTTCTAGAATTTATCTATATCTTTCTCTGTCCCCACCCAGGGCTTTGAATTCTCTCCTCTTTAAATAAAACCAACTGGCACCTCAAAATGAAAAGTAGTATCTTCTCACCCAGGATGAGGTCAGATATCTTCTGCTCTGAAACACAGCTGGAAAGAACAGGTCTGCCAAATTTTAACACTTACTGTGTAACAAAGGTGATGGATTTGCCAGATCTCCCAGCTCGAGCTGTTCTCCCAACACGATGAATGTAATCCTGAAAACAATTTTTTTTGATAAGCAATAAGATATGATCACCAAACACAGAACAGATCTTATGGAAAAATCAGCCTATATAATTTCTCTTTAGGAAAGAACAAGAAAATGGGGAGAAAATACAGCCAGGATTAAATGCTTGGGATCGTGTGCAGCATCAGGATTTGAGAAGATGCCAGCTTGTGGAGGCAGATCTTTGGTTTTAACATATGAATTCTCCTCTTTCTAAAGGAGAAGACCAACTCCAATTATTCAAGACTGCAGGTCAGAAGTTGCAATACATGACTTTGCTAATGAACTATCACTTCCTTGGAGAGCCAATAATCACAGCGAGCCCATGGCTGTATTTTCAGTCTTGAGATCTAGTGCTCTACGTAAGTCCTCCAGAGAAACTCTGACAAATAGATTTAAATTTGGCAAGCACAGTGAAATGGAGGATGAATGAGAATAATTTGGAAGTGTCTAATCTATTGAGTGTCTTATGTTTATATGGTTCTAGGCCATTTTCCAGGTTTTATACTGCATTACAGAAAATAAAATACTCCCTTCTCCATACAGGATCTGTGGAGAAAGGATCGTGAGAAAGGATGTGTTCTTTGAGAGGATCAGATGAGAGAGAAAAGCACAACACTGTAATAACATCACTCAAACAGCTGCTCCTCTGTTTTTCTTTACTTTTGTCCTTTCACAATGCCAAAAGTAGTGTCTTCAAAAGACCAACCATACTTTCTTCTGTTTGCAAGGTGTAGTGTCTTTAATAATGATTAATGTAAGCAACAATAGCAATTCCAGAAGTGCATGCTAATAGTATGCTTTTTGAAACTAGGTTGGGAAACAGTCACATCCTTGGCTTAATCCTGTACTTTCCATAAGATAGAGTTAGTCACATTTTTTCCAGATTGCTGTACTTTTGTGATATGAAGGTGAAACATACGAAAAGATACCTTTCTGATCAAATGCTCATTGAACAGAATAGGAGAATTTTTTTTTTCTTTTTTTAAACACAGTATAAAATGTGGAGGCAAACACAGGTCACAGGAACAGAGATGACTACATGAAACTAATATGTTAAAACTGTTTTCAAAGCCCTTTAACGTAATATGGCAAAACACAAACTCAGCAGAAATGCAAAGACACAGAACATTCCTCACTTCCCCTCTTCACTTGCAGGATCAGTTCTGCAGTCCAGATGAGGCCATCCAACCAAACTGAGATATACCAACTCAATTGCACAGGCTGAACTACACCTTCTAATCTACTGAAGTGTGAATTAGGCTTCCAGTCCGCAGAACAGAGAAAAAATGTCTTTGTTCTCTTGTCTACCTTCACTACGCTCCGGGTGACCAGAAGCTCTCAGCTGGCACACACACAAGCTTACCTTAGAGTGCGTAGGAATATCAAAGTTTATCACCACATCTACATGTGGGATGTCCAGACCTCTGCTTGCAACATCAGTAGCCAGCAGAATAGAACGTGCCTTTGCCTTGAACTTGTTTAGAGAGCCCAAACGTTTATTCTGGAAAAGGACAAAATGTGAATGAGAGAATAACACTCATTCTAGTTAATATGCTCTTGTTGAAATACTAGAACAAAAAACTGGGGGAGAAACTAGTCAAAAATCTCACTTTTTTAACTTCTTTTTTAAATACTACAGAACCAGTGGCAGCATTAACATTAGTTAAATTTCCAGGGATCGGTCCAGTGCACTAGCTGTGAAATACTCCTTCTGCAAGGCAGTTGTGACCCAGTATGGTGCAACCCATTTCCCAAGCCAAGGGTCTCCTGTCTACTCCATTCTGTGGGGTACCCCCATACCTGACTCATCTGCCCATGGAGAGGAATGGCAGTGAACCCCAGGTTGCGGAGCAGTAGAGCAGTCCTCTGTGTATTGTTACATGTACTACAGAATATCATGAAAGAGTTACCAGCTAGTTCATTCAAGATATAAACCAGGTAGCTGTCCTGTGAAAAAAACAGGGAGAGAATTAAAGAAATTAAAAGATAATCACATGTGCCACATTAAAGAGGAAGTATAAGCCACAGAAGATGACGAGATATTGGGCAGACGTGGGAACAATAAGACGAGACACAATGAGAAAAGGGAAGAAACAGAAGTGGCATTACCTTGAATTTGGAGGGGATGAAAATGTAGTACTGCTGTAGTTTTTCAACTGTCTGATACTTGGAAGAAACAGCACATTTAACAGGATTCTTCAGTGCAGCACGCTGCAGTTTTTGAACCTGGTGAGATCAATATAAATTAGTTCTAGATGGCAAGAGATCTTGTTGAAAACCTGTATTAAATACAGTCTAGTCAACAGGAGAGCCTGATGGAAGGAGAACTAAAGCAGAGCACTCTGCTCTCACCTTCTTGGTCATGGTAGCAGAAAACAGGAATGTCTTCCTGTCTCGGGGAATCACTTTTAGTATCTTATCCACCTGCAGAAACAGAAGGGAAATGGAAATGCTGAATACTACAAATAACTAAGACACAAGCATCGCCCAAACATAATGATCATCCCCATGAAGAGTAATGCATGTGTAGACATACAGCAGGAACAAATTTTTGCTCCTCTAAAGAGAAGGTGTAGGCTGAAAGCTTGTTGACAATTAGGCAGTGTGAACTCCTTAAGTCCAATAGCAGTGCAAATGTCAGGCAATGTTTCTGTAGGAATGTGCGTGTGATTGTGTTCTACAGGAACTGCATCCACATCAGGCACTCCAGAGAGACCAGTAGATTTAAGAAACAAAATGCCTCCTAGTCTTGGCAGTGCTCTTCAGAACTCTGCTACATTTTACTCTCACCATAGACAATTGCGCAATCGTTAGATCTTAGTTACAATTTGCTATTAATTTCTACAGAACAGCTCAGTGTTCACTATGTGACAGTATGAAGCTGTTTTAAAGGGACTCATCTGGTGTTCCAAACTCTTTTAGCAGATTCCTACCTCTGTCTCAAAATCCATGTTAAGAATCCGGTCAGCCTCATCCATCACAAGGAACTTCAGAGCACGTAAGTTGAAGCCCTTTGTGTTCTCCAGATGATCAACTAGACGGCCAGGGGTTGCTACCAACAACAGCATGAGAACAAATTTAGAATGAAAGCAAAGGAAAAGATCCAATGAGGCAAGAGAGTAACCACTATAGAAATGACATCCTATGCCCAATAAAAGTAAAGGCAGAGTGCTTTGTGGGAAGAACTCTTCCACAGGCTATCTTCAGAAGGTGTTTTAAAATAAGACTAATGAAGTCAGACTCTCTGTAGAATGTCCTCCCCCTAACAAAGGCAACACAAAAGAGACTGTAGACAAGCTGCACTGTAAAGGATGAGGCCAGCATTTTAATTACTCGGGGAGAAAGAAAAAAACCAAGCCAAAGGCAGGAACGCTTTGGAATGAGCTTGTAGCAACAAAGTTACTAGTGTATACTTCAGAAACATTAACTCAGACCTCAGACAAAAACAAATGAAAAGATGTACTCTCACAAAACCATCTGGCAGTCTTTCCTTGGAAAACTGCAGTTTGATAATATTCACCTTCCATATCTTCAGCAGGTTAACTTACCAATTATAACATGTGGTTTCTTGGCTAAAGCCAGAGATTGAGACATCGTGTCAATTCCACCCACAATAACCGCTGCAGGACAAATAGAATACAGTGAATCCCTCAGTGTAGCACCAGCCAGATCCTCTGGCACTATAGCGTTTCCTCCCACCCCCCACCCCCCACAACAACTCTATAGAAAGGAAAAGCTACTTAGTTTTATGAGAATCCACTTGATTTTAGCATAGCTGACCTTCCTGGGCTTCTTAAGCCATAAAATTATGTCCTTACTGGCCCCAGGTATTTTATTTTCACAGCTGAAGAGCTACAGGCAGAACCCATTCTCTGCAGCTTAACTCAGCTGCAAAAATCTAGGAACTATAAGAATACCCACAAAGCTTATATGTTTGAGAGAGTGTCTAAAGAACCAACACAGACAGTCTGAAGGAAAGATTAAACTACATCACATTACAGCATGAAGCTATATGCAATTTCACTGGACACAAACCTGCTATTGGGAACATTCTCTTCTACTTCCATCTTCAACTGCTCAGACATAAAATGCAGAAGAGCTGTAGACTACTCCAAGAAGAAACACTATACAGTCTTTCTTTCCCAAACCTGATACCAGATCTCTGTCTTCCAGCGTCACAAGCTTTTCTCACTTTTTACTCAACCCTTCATACAAATCCTCTACTTTTTGCTTTGCAATCTTGAGCTAACAAGCTTTAGTCTTCAAGAAAACTGGTCCAATATCACAAAGCTACTTACTAGTCTGGACACCAATGGAGGACCCAAGAGCTTCAAACTGCTCTGAGATCTGGAAGGCCAGCTCCCTTGTTGGAGTGAGGACAAGAGCAAATAATCGCTGGGGTGTTTCCAGCAGTGCTTGAAGAATTGGCAAAGCAAAGGCTCCTGTTTTTCCAGAGCCAGTTTCTGCAAGTCCAATGACATCTCTGCCTACGAGAAACAGCAAAGAGGGCAAAAACTGTTACACATCTAGGACACAGGAAGAAGCCTTTAAAGCACTGTGCAATAAAGCACAAGAATTCCCTAGGGACAGGAAAAATAAAAAAGAAATTCACAGAGGGTAAAAATGAATAAGGGGCCAAACCAAAGAATTTCAGAGTATCTCTGAAGCATTTTTAGACTGTGATTTCTTTTGTACAATAATTACAGTCTTGGTACTTTGAATTCTCTAGTTAAACTTCTGCTAATATACAGGGTTTCATACAAACTTTAGGTTCAAAATAAGCTTTACTTTATTCTGTCTCAGATTCATCTGTCAGTTTACAGCTAAATGGTTCTATCTCAGTATTCTAGACCAAATGTTGTTGGTTTACTGGCTACAAGGAAAACAGACTCCAGTGTTTATACTTCAGTCACACAAACTACAAGACAATAGCACTATCAAACTCACATTTCACAAACCACAATTGTGCCATTGATTAACACTGTAATCTAAACCAGTTTGCAGCAGGAGGGATTAGGACAGCAAGTCCTTTGCTCAAAAACAGTGGAGGCAGCAGGGTAGAATTCATTATGACCTCCTAAGCTCGTACACTTGAGAAGGACATGCTGCCAACAGTTCTGACATTGGAAACAACTTCTCAGGAAAGCAGTCTTTTTTTTTTTCCAAAAAGAGTCTTACATGTGGAGTAAAAGAGTCTGACAATAGTTAAGTACTAGGACATAACAGAACATGAAAGTTTGTTCCCTTTCTGTCACTACATCGTTCTGTTCCTGCTTCACAGTGTTTTGAGCAGTTTTAACAAAAATAGTTCTAGAGGCAGAGATGTTTGCTGAATTCAGTAATTTATTTTCCTGTAATTCCAGGATGCTTACAGAAGGCCACTGTGGTTTGGTTATTACTCACTTCATAAAACTAATTTCAAAGAATTGCCTGCTCCCAGCAAAGCAGATTATACATGCTATGGAATCAGTCAAGGCATCTCCAGTTTCAGACACACATATACTGGAGGTCTCTATCAGAAGAGGCACAGCCCTAAACCTCTTTGAAGCTTTCTGTGTGTCCTTGGCTATTACAGAAAGAAAACGGTCAATGCTCTAATGATTCCTAATAATTCTATTTAACATGGAGTGTCAGAACTACACAACAGTAGGCAACACTCAAGAAACCATGTTTGTACCCATTTGCAAATTTGCAATTGCAGGCAGCGTTATAGGGTAAACTGGTATTCCAAGCTCCACCTGGGAAGGACATAGAATGAACACAAAGACTACTTCTAGACAGAGATCCACAATGATGAACAAGTTGGAACATTCATCCCTGCCCCTTCTCACTCAGCAGAATTAATTCACATAAAGGTCCTGGGGCATTCCCAGATTCAGGATCAAAGCATCACACTGCTCACCTTGGAGAGCCACTGGAATAGCCTCGACTTGGATCTTTGTGGGTACCTTCCATCCTAACTGGTCACAGGCTTCACACAGGACATCTGTCACTCCCTGAACATTAGTCAAAAGAGAAAAGGGAAACAGACATCAACAAGAAGATCTAAATTAAATCACAGAGTTCAGTTAAATACATGCTGCATCAGACCTAAGCCTGTCTCTAGCAGAGACAAACCCCACCAGGCCCCCAGTTCTACTATCTGAAAGGGCAGGCTGCTCAGTGATCCCCACCCCCATCAGTAACCTCACAGGATTTGTTCAATATTGTTAGCAAGGACTATCAGCAAGGACTGTCATCAGGAAGAAAATATTCGGGTTTACCTGGTTTACACAAGGAACTTTACACACACAGAGCTGTCTCTCTTCTAGGTCAGTTCTGGGGCAGTCCTGGGGCAGTTAAAAGTCAGTTCTGGGGCAGTTAAAGGTCAGTTCTGGGGCAGTTTAACGGTCAATTCTGGGTCTCTCTATGGGGCAGTTCTGGAGCAGTTCTAGGCCAGTTCTGGGATGGTTCTAGGCCAGTTTGAGGACAGCTCTGGGTCTCTCCATGGGGCAGGGAGTGGTTCTACTACCTATGACCACAGAAGACAAAAAACGCCAGGACAATTTAACACAACTAAAAATACAGACTGCGGAGCACTGATCGGAGCAGCAACGCCAACGTGACCGGAGCAGCGGCCTGACCTCCCGCCCGGGCACAGCACCATGCCCACGGCTGGCGGCACACGTGTCTGTCCCCGCC